TTCCCTGCCCACACCATCCTCATCCCAGTTCGGAGACCAAACGCCACCCACCGACACCCCCCCAAGGGCTCTCCAAAGTCTGCCCGCAGCCAGAGCAGCCTTACCCAGGTAGGTGTTCTCCTTCTCATAGAGGGACACAATCTCCTGCCAGTCCTGGGGAGGAGGAAGCAGAGGGTGGGGGAGGCTGCAAACACACCGGCCATCACCGGCCATGTGTCCCCAAGCCCATGCTCACCTTCATGCGCTGGGACGAGTAGCGTCCAAAGAGGTTCTTGGTGGAAGCCTCAGTGCCCTTGAGGATCTCCACGATCCTCAGGCAGTGGAAGTAGTGCAGATCTGCGTTGGAGGGAGGGACACGGTCACTGGGATGTCTGCCGGGTGCCACCCTCTCCCAGCCCAGGGACCGTAGGTCTCAGAAGTGGTCGTGTCACTGACTCCCCATCTCCTCCTCAGCCCAGGGAGGGGTTGCCATAATCAAACCCTCGGGAACAGGCTCCCAGTGCGATGCCCACCCTGGCTGCCCGTGTCCCAGCTCTCCTGGGACACCCCAACCCCAACCTCCACTCACAGGCCCCCGCGAGCAGCTGCTTTATCTCCTCGTTCTCCGGCATGTCTTGGATGGCCGCGTTGATCTTCTCGCGGATGGCCAGCACCTGGCTCTGCCATTTCAGGTTGCAGTGTCTCCTGTCCACCAGCCAGTCTGTGAGGCAGGCAGGCAGGCGGGAAACAGGGGGTCAGCTGGGAGAAGGGCTCGGAGGGAGGTCATGCTTCCCCTGCCCCGAGGCTGCCCTACGGTGCCAGATGGAGGCACCGGCTCCCCGTGTGTCCCGTCCCCACCGAACACAAGGGCCAAACGCTGGGATAAAATCCCGGTTCCTTCTCCAGGTCTGGGAAGGGCTGGAGGGGAAAGGGGCGGGGGGGTCATCCCGCTGCTGCCTGGGCTGCTGGGGCAACCCACCACAGCACCCAGGGGGGCGGCGCTGGGGCCATGCGTTGCCACACAGCAGGGTGACAAACCCTCCCGGGGAAGAAGGACACGAGTGACCGGTGCCACCTCGCCCCCGCCCGCCGGGGAGTCCCGGCACGGCTTCCCCCACGAAGCATCTGCCCACCCTGGGGGGCTCCCGCGCGGGGGAGGGGAGGCCAAGGCTGCCGTACTCAGGA